CTTCTACTGTAATAATAAAATTCTAATGATATAATTTTAAACAGATAAAAAAATACTAAATAGAATATTAACTCTCTAGTATTGCATAAATTTTGTAAAATAAATAAATAAATAGATACCTAGATTGTAAATGTACAAAAATCATTTATGCAATAAAATACTCTGTTAACAAAGCTTTTGGAATAATAGGATACCTGGTGATATTTAATTAGTTATTTATATTTTCCTGCATTTTATACATCTAATCAACATATATTTTCCTTATATATTAGAAAAAAAACTATTTTTTAAAGATTAAAATCAAATTTCTATGTTTTTTTTTTTAATTAGGAGTTAGACTAAAGCTTTAGTCTAATATTTAAAGCACCACAATATTTAAAGCACCTAAGAGATAAACCATTAGTAAAATGATGCTTCTCTGTGCTACTGATGAGTATATTAGTTTAAAAAATATTAATTCAAGTGACAGAAACTCAAAATGTGTTATTAGAACTCTGCAACATTCAACTTAATGGGTGGAAAATACAGGGGGGGAAAAGGTATTTTCTACATATCTCTGCTTCTTTCATTCTTCATTGGAATCTTACAAAGCAGCCTGGCTCTATCCATAGGACATAACTCATCCTACTACATGCTCTAGAGCTTCTGATGTTATTACCAGAGGCCCAGCACACACAAAATAGTGTATGGTTAGGGTCTTAGGCCATCTTCTACCTGCTTGCCAGTCCCTGCCACCACCCCTTAGTTCTTCGTGGTTCCCTGATTGCAGCATGGTTCCGCTTCCCCAGAGCCTATGAGTGGGGAGAGGGACCAAGATGTCGCTGTTCCACCCTCTCCTCACCCTGCTGTCACTCACCTGGGTTCAAGTGGTTCTCCATTTGCCAAGCTGCGACTGGAGCCTGAGGGCCAGGGCGGTAAGGGGAAGGGACCAAGAGGTGCTCAATGCACCTCATGGTGACCAGTCAAATGGTCATTTCTATCATCAAGGTCACTGCATTTTATATATAGGATGCTGACTAATATGACAGAGTAGGATTCTCTGACTCAATTTCAGAATTCAGAAAGATACTGATCAATCTAATTTGGATCAGGTGCATTTATTTGTGACTAGAAGAAAATTAATAAGGAAGCTTCCAGAAAACCACACTCACAGAACTGAGAGAATCAAAGAGGGAAACTCTCAGAAATGAGATGTTGGAGAGAATATGTCAAGTAAAATAACCATCTATATATATAAAAGCCTAAGTGCAACCAAAACAACCAAACTGACCAAATAGGCTGAATGGGAAAACCAGGCCAGCAGGGGGATTAGTGAGGGATGATGAAACAACTGAACTGAGGGCTGCATGGGAAGACCAGGCTGCAGGGGGGTTAGTGATGGATGATCAAACAACTGAAGAGTAGGCTGTGTGGGGTGACCAGGCCAGTAGGGAGGGCATTGAGGGGTGATCAGGCCAACAGAGGGGGGCAGTGAGAGGCAACCAGGCTGGTGGGGGTGACCAGGCTGGCAGGGGGGGGGGGGCAGTAAGGGACAACCAGGCCAGTTGTGTGGGGGAGTTAGGGGTGAACAAGCCAGCAGGGGGGTGGGGGCACTAGGGAGCTACCAGGATGGCAGGGGGAGAGGGGGCAGATGACAGTGACCAGGCCAAAGAGGGGCAGTTAGGGATGATCAGGCAGGCAGGTAAGCATTTAGGATACAGTGGTCCCAGATTGTGAGAGGGATGTCCGACTGCTGGTTTAGGCCCAATCCCTGTGGGACATCTCCTGAGGGGTCTTGAATTGGAAAGGGTGCAGGCAGGGCTGAGGGGATCCCCGGTGCACAAATTTTGTGCCCTGGGCCTCTAGTAAATACATAGGTTAATTAACACACTATTTCTAATTAATGACTAAATCATCTTCAATTAATAAACTAATTTTATTATTTTAATAGACTACATTTTATAGTACTGCAGAATAGTGATTATATCATGTAGGAATATTTCTATAAAATTTTTAAACTATCTCCCCAGTGTGTATTTTATATATTTGTATTATAGAGAATATCTCTGTCTAAAAAATATTTTTAAAAGCCCTTTCCAATAAAAATATTATATATATATTATTTTAAATTGTATAGCACACATCTTTAAAGTAAGAATAAATAGGTTTTAATAATATATTCAATGTAACCAAATACATCCATAATATTTTTAACATGTCATATAGCTACATTTTAAGTATTCAACAGCATCTCTGGCTAAAGGCTACTTTAATGGATGATGTAGCTCTAATATATATACCTTATATACATAGATCCATAGAATATATGTTCTCTTTGTATGTATATATGTTAAATATAAAATATATTTATCCAATACATATTTTAAATATAAATAATGAATATATTTGTCCATGCATTTTATAAAAGTAATTGTATTGATATGATATTATATAATATTAAATATATACAAAACTTTTTGAGAATTACAGAGCAATATAAAAATAAGTTATAGTGGCTTCATTCACTTCCCACTGTATCATGGGTGAGTGCACATGACTTTGGAGACTAATGTTGTTAAGATTTAATTCAATTTGCTCAAGGACATAGGAATCTGAGAATACTGTATTTGTATGAATCAATGAATTTCTAAGGTAATTCAATCAATAACAGAAAAAGTATTCAAAGAATGAGGTAGGTAATAGATAAAAAAAAAAAAAATTCTGATTCCTTTTCACTTAACTTTAATGGTGATGCACTAAAATTGTCTCTTATATCAGAAACTCTTTTTTTTATAAAATAGAACTTCCAAGGAGTAGTATCAAACAGAAATGGAAAGTCTGATTCAAGAAAACTTGAAATAAGTATAACATAATTCAACATCCTTTGTATTTTATAAGATGTTTCATAAGCATACATAAGTGGATTTGAACAACACTTGCCGCAGACAAAATCAAGAGAAGATCTTACAGTCAAATCAGAAATATAAAACAATTTTCAATCTCTTTCTCAATATCATTGAAATTTTAAGGAGAAAAAAAAAGGAAAGTTCTACTCTTATTTCAAAAAAAGGATTGAAAAGGCTTTTGAGAACCTTATTATTTCCCCTATTATTCCATGGAAGTCTTTTGAAAAATTGTTTAAGGTTGTTGAGAACCGTACTCATCTCCAGGTAGTCTTTCACTTGAAGACTATTTCAGGACAGTTTGGTGCTGAGGAAACTGACACACAGGGAAATGCAAAGTAAGAGTCTAGTGTTGTATCTTTATTTATTTATTGATTGATTGATTTTTATTTTTTTTATTAAATTATTATCTTTGTACATATACCATTGCCCCCCAAACATGCCCTCCCTCCCCAGAGTTTTGTGTCCATTGGTTGTACTTATATGCATGTATCTAAACAATGATTTAAACAAGACGCCTTAATGACCCAATTAATTAGGAGTAGTGCTCAAAGCCCAGAACGAGGTGTCTCTTTCCAATCTCTGAGTGAAGTCACACAAGAAGTTTTTCATATTTGTACCTTTTGAACTTCTTTGTCTGCAGGTTTTACAAAGGGCTCTCTGTGAGTTATTGTCACAGTTTGTAATCTTATATACATAGAGAACAAACATTTGGCATGAAATATGGGAATTATTATCAGTATTAGTCCATTATGTTAGATGGCTAACTTTCAAGGCCAGACAGTCAAGTTTATCATTTTTGTATTATTTGAACTAAAAACAAAGTCATTTTATAGAATAAGAGACTGTCTTAAAGTGACAGAGTTTACAATGACAGAGTTTACAGGACTAGGAACTATCTAACAATAGCAGAGAGTGTCAAGCAGCAGCTTTTTATACAAGATGGAGGTTACTATGCTTCACTAAGAGAACCTTGATAAATAGCATCAATCCTATAACGTGGCGATGGGCAGCAGGCAGGGCCTGAGAGGCACTATGCATAGACCTTTCAGCTCTGCCTTTAGTCTCCTTCCTCAGGCCAATTGAGTGATCAAGTTGAGTGAGAGGCTTAGCTCAGATGAGCAAACTGATTTTAGGTGATTTCTCATCACTGTCAGTCACATCATCTTTGCTTATCTCCTTTGGATCTTCAACTATGAAATTTAAGGGGTGCTTTCCATGTGGGGAAAATAAAATAAATGAATGTGCAGTGAGAGTGTCTGCCCTACCATGGTTCACTTAGGAATTTAAAAACTCTAAATTGAAGTGAGAAAGGGTAAGTTGACTTCTAAGCTCTGCTAGGAATCATGACTTAAATGTATTTTTTCTGCTCAAATATGTACAACTGTCAGTAATAAGTGCAATGACGCTCTTTAGGGTTGACAATTCATCATTTTCCCTTTCTCTGTATCAGCTAGGATAGAAAAGTAAATTCAGATACTGTTTTGCCCATCTCAGTAGTAGTCAGGCACTTTGTTGAACCAATGAGATTTGAATATACATAAACATATCTGAAAACTGGTAAAGTGCTTAAAATTTCTTTGAGAACATCAATGGTATACTAGGTATCTATTGAATTAGTAATTTTTAAAAAACATATTTTATTGATTTTTTTTTTCTTTTTTTTTTTTTTTACAGAGAGGAAGGGAGAGGGATAGAGAGCTAGAAACATAGATGAAAGAGAAACATGAACCAGCTGCCTCCTGCACACCCGCTACCAGGGATGTGCCAGCAACCAATGTACATGTCCACCGGAATCAAACCTGGGACCTGTAAGGTTCCAGCTGAGAAGTTTGTGACCCAGAAGCAAGACACAGAGTCCAGGTGGTTTAAACAAGGTGCCTTAATGACCCAATTAATTAGGAGTAGTGTTCAAAGCACAGAAGGAGATGTCTCTATCCAATCTCTGAATGAAGTCACACAGGAAGTTTTACAAAGGGTGGGGATGGGGACATTAATCTTGTGCTCCTGGGCAAAGCTCGCTGGTCCCAGGGTGGGCCAGGGAAGTTCAAGCCAAAAAGTGGCATAGGTACTTCTTTCATACAGCTGTTTAGTGAGTGGAGGTTAGAAGGCATGAGAGGTGTGGAATTCCTGCCTAGGGCCAGGGGTCTAGGAAGGCCCTAGGAAGGCACAAGCTAGCCAGCTATCTTTGTCACCATCTATAATACCTTGCAGATGCTTGCATCAGCTCTGGGCTTCCCTCCTGCCTCTACCTAACATCCCAGCCTTTTGGTGATAGGGGGCGCTGAAATCATCCTGGCTACTTCCTGCTGACCAGGGGCGAAGAGGGTGGGGAATGTTAAAGGCCAGGGTCAGGCAGAGAGGAGTTGAAGGGCAGCCGAGTGTAGGGATGGAGCAGGAGCTGGTTTACAGTCACCCGAAACATTTCAGCAATCCTGGAGCGGATGAATTTGAGGAGGCAGGGAGCTAGGAAAAAAAAGAGACAGATGAGAATTAGGGGCCCTATCAGGAGTGGGATCCAGGTAGCGAAAGGGCTTTGGAGCCAGCCGAAAAGAGAATTGTCCTGGTTGTGTCTTGCACGTAATTCTTCACTCAGCTTAGCCAGGGTCTGCACGTCCTGTTCCACCACTCCGGACTCGTTGATGTAGTAGCAGCATTCTTCTTGAAGGAACATGCAGGTTCCTCCTCTTTCCGCAGTGAGAAGGTCTAGGGCCCTTCGGTTCTGCAGGGCTATTTGGGCTACCGATGTTACTTGCCGCTGCAGGGAAGCTAAGGAGTTAGTGGTAGACTCCAGGGCAATCTGGAGTTTGTCATTGAAATCCTGAGCAGAGATTATGCTGTTACCCAGGGGCCTCCCAGCTAGGGCTATTGAGGCAGCAATATTTACCCCCAACATGATAGGGAGGAAGGCGGCCCGGCGGGCTCGGGGGTGCGATGAAGGGAGCAGCCAGGCGAGCTCGGACTCTCCATACAAGGTTAGTTGGGGAACTGCTGTGACCAGGAAGCAAGGCCCGGGGTCAGAGGAGTTTATGCAGTTGCTTACGGTGCCGTTGCACCAAAAGAAGGTACCCGGGCTGGCCTTGGTGGGACTGGCTGCGGTGTGGTTTTGGGTACAGTTCCAGGTGATCCGTCCCCCAGTTACCGGGTTGCTGGTCTGGTAACATATCCGCGGGGGCAAGCTGGGTTGTGGAGTTTCGGGTTCCCAGAGGGGAATGCCAGCCAGGGGAGGCTGACACTCACCTTGTCCTTGGGTTCCTGGAGAAGTCATGAGTGGGACAGCAGCCAGCAAAGGTCTTTGGAGAGAGACACATAAAAAGCAGTGCGAGACATTGGGCAGGGTGTGGGTCTCGTTAAGAAATAGTAGAGTGTGTTGGATAAGTTGGAGCCAAGAAGACAGGACTTCTACCTGGGGGGAATGAGGCAGCTGCCCTTTAAGGGACTGTTCGGCCTGTAGGATGCTATTGGAGACCTGGATTTGGGCCTCCTGGGCCATGACATACTCCCGGGAAATGTAGATGGTCCCTGAAGGGGTCGAGCTCCAACGACACCAATACAGTTTTCCCATAACACCCGCAACCCATCGCTGGTTCCAGGGGTCCCGGACCCTGATGTTGAAGGTCCCGTCTTTCCAGAAAAAGGGGCCAGACCTGACCTCATTGTAGGCATCATGGATGACACAACCTGACCAGCGGCAACCCCCATAGGTGTTGACCTCTCGATTACACCTGTCTGGGTTCCGCTGGTCGTAAGCAAAGCAGGCATATGGTCGACCACTGTTGGACACTGACCGGAGGTGAACAGCAATCAGGATCTCTGCCTGGCATCCGGCCAGAGGGCAGTCCTGAGATCCTACCTGCCGGGTGACTTGTGTGCTGTCCTGGTCATAGGTTTCATGGACCTTGAACCTCCACACATAAGTAGGAGGGGGTGGATGTAGGTTACCCAGGCCTGGGAACAGAAGGAGGAGGGGGAGAGCGACTAAGGAGGACCTTAGTGGGGCCCAACACCTCACATTTATAGAAGTCATGCTGCTCCGGGGTCCTCTTGAGTCTGGAGAGGCGATGCCACGATGGAGCGCCAAGTAGTTTGGCCGTGGTGGGGGTTGTGAGGATGACTATGTGATGTCCCGTCCACCTGGGTTCTAAGGCTTTGGGTGTAGATTCTTAAGGAGAACTGAGTTCCCGGGCTGGAGGGGTGGTCCTCGTGAGCCTTGGTCAGCTGGTTCTGGCCTGGGCAGAAACCTGTCAGCATGTCCCTAGAGCAGCTACCTGAGTAGAGACAGGTATGGAAGATAAGTAGCCAGGAGAGTAAGGTCAGTAGGAAGACAGTGGTTGAGCAAGAAGGGTCTCCCATATAGGAGTTCAGAACGTCCCTGGCCCGCTCTGGGACCAGCGAGCTTCGCCCGGGAGCACAAGATTAAAACCGCCCCCACTTTTTAATCGCCTGGACTCTGTGTCTTGCTTCAAACCTCTCAGCTGGAACCTTACATCTTGGTGCGAAACCAGGGCACAGGGTGTGTGCTCTGTGTGACCTTTCCTGGTCTGGGGTGCCCCTCAGGCTTCTCTCCAGCTCTGCAGCATCAGAGTCAGCGGGGGAGTCCCAGTCCCTATTGATTCCTAGTGATCGTTCTTCCAGCATCTCTGTCCCTAAACAGTGGCCCACCTCAGAGACTGCCTTCCGGGCATAGCCCTCCGCACCTCCCAGGAAGGTTCCCAGTCTGGGGAGGTAGTGAAGACTTTCCTATTCCCTTTGGCTCTCTGGACTTTTGGCCTCACTCCAGACCCCAGGAGGTGAGGGAGATGTCCCCTGCCATCCCTCGGGTCCCCAGTCCATAGCCTTGGCTCAATGATTGGGACACCAGTCCTTGGGCCTCTGCTACTGACCATAGGTGTCAAAATGGGAAACCAAAAAACCAAATTAGATCTAACAATGCCACTGGGGTATCTTGTCACCAATCTGGCTAAGCTAGGCCTGTCCCAGGATCTGCATCCTAAACGCCTCATTTACTTCTGTAATGTGGTGTGGCCTCAGTATGAATTGGACAACAGGTCAAAATGGCCTGAACATGGGACTTTCAATTTTAACATTCAGATTGACCTCAACAATTTCTGCCAATGAGCGGGGGAAGTGGCTGGAGGTTCCATATGTCCAGGCCTTTTTCTATCTGTGCTCCTGTCCCTCCCTCTTCTCCTCTTGTTCCTCTGCCCAGGTTCTCTTAGCTCATGAGAAACTCCCATTGCCTATCGACACCCCTCCACTTTCTGTCTTATCTGAACCCCTTGAGAATCTTTCTTCTTTCTGACTCACCCGCTTCCTTGCTCCCAGCCTTCTTGCCCACCTCCCTACGCAGGGCTCCTTCTGCCCTGCCTCCTTCTGCCCTGCAGTCAGTTCCCTCCCTTCCTTCATCCTCACTCCCAGACCTCCCTCCGCCGTCCCCTCCCCAAGAGCCTTCTCTCTTACCTGCTGGCCTTCCCCTTCCCCCACCCCCAGCCTGCTTCCCCAGTCAGCAGGCACACCCGCTCCAGGCTCTTCCTCTCCTCTGCCCCCTCTGGGAAGTTGCAGGGGCTGAGGGAGTAGTCAGGGTTCATGTTCCCTTTTCTCTGTCAGATCTCTCCCAGATTGAGAAGCCGTTGGGGTCCTTTTCCACCAACCCCATCATGTTCATCAAGGAATTCCAATACCTTTCTCAGGCCTATGACCTCACCTGGAATGACATCCAAGTCATTCTCTCTTCCACTCTAACATCAGATGAAAGGGAAAGAGTCTTAGGAGCAGTGATGGACCACACAGATCAGATCCACCTTACGGATGCCTCCATGCCAGTGGGGGCCCAGGTCATTCCTCATCAGGAACCAGGCTGGGAGTACCAACTAGATACCCCTGAAGGGCGAGACGGGCGCCAATGTCACTACCAGATGCTCCAATGCCAATAGCCAGCCTACAGGCCATCTTCCACAAGGTAGTTAATTTTGACAAGCTGAGGGAAGTTACTCAGGGACCAGGTGATAACCCCCAGTCTTCCTTAACAGGCTGACTGAGGCTCTGACTTTATATACTCATCTGGAGCCTGGGTCCCCGGCTGGAGCAACTGTTCTAGCCACTCACTTCATTTTGCAGTCAGCCCGATATTCAAAGAAGTTAAAAAAGGAAGAGGATGGCCCTCAGACTCCTGTCCAGGATCTGGTGAATATGGCATTTAAGGTTTTCAGTGCCTGTAAGGAGCAGGCAGAATCAGATCAGGAGGCCCGCCTTTGACAAAAGGTGAACCTGCAAACTCAAGCCTTGGTAGCAGCCCTAAGGCCAGCAGCTACGCATGGTTCAAGGAGGGCTGTGCGTGATGGGGGTGCAACAAAAGGATGAACACCACCTAGAGGATGCTGCAAGTGCGGAAACGAAGTCCATTGGGCTAAACAATGCCCACAACTCTGGGCTCCAACCAAGCCCTTTGACCAAGTGTGGTCAAAGCGGCCACTGGAAAAAAGTGACAGGCCCTCTGAGTCTCAGCATGGAGGGACCATCCTTCTAGGTCATGACCCACTGCTGGCCATGCTGGGACTGGCTGAAGACTGAAGATGCCCGGACTCGACCACCCCCATCACCTTGGCTAAGATCTCCTTTTTGATAGATACGGGGGGGGGGGGCTACTGTTTCTGTTCTGCCCTCTTTTTCTGGGCCACTGTTCCCTTCCATGATCTCGGTCATGGGTATTGACAGCAAATCCACCTGCCCGCTGGCCACCGGGCCTTTCCCTGTCTCCTTGACAATAACCCTATAACCCACTATTCCTAGTCATGCCTTCATGCCCCATACCCCTTTTAGGACGAGATATCCTCATCAAACTAGGGGCCACTCTGCAGCTCACTCGGAGTCCTTCAGCCTCCCTGCTTCTTCTGCTCCTGGCTCCCTCCCTTCATGGGAACACTGATTCCCCACTGCCTGTGTCCCTTGACAACCCAAAAGTATGGGACACCTCTACCCCGGTGGTTACTAGACACCATACCCCGGTGAGGATCAGACTTAAGGACCCCACCTCGTCTCTCTCCCGTCTCCAGTTTCCTATCTCCCTAACTCATCGCCTAGGTCTCAAACCTCTAATTACTTGGCTTCTGGGCAGGGTCTCCTCATACCTATCGACTCTTCCTGCAACACCCCCATCCTTCCTGTTAGGAAGGCAGATGGGACCTATTGGCTGATGCAGGACCTCTGACTAATCAATGAAGCAGTGTTCGCCATCCACCCAGTCCCCAATCCTTACACTCTCCTTTCCTGCATCCCATCTGGTACCACTCACTTTTCTGTCCTCAACCTCAAGGACACCTTCTTCCTTGGATCCAGACTCTTACCATCTGTTTGCATTTACTTGGGAGGACCCAGATAAGCAGGTATCCCACCAACTCACCTGGACAGTTCTGCCCTAGGGGTTCAGAGACAGTCATCTGTTTGGTCAGGCCTTACCCAGAGACCTCCAACAATGCTTATTAGAACCCAGCACTACACATCTCAGAGGCATACAGCTGGCCTATGCTGGTAGAATTTTTCCATCATTGGGTCCCAAATTTTTCTCTCCTAGCTAAGCCCTTATACCAGGTTGCCTCACCCTCTCTCATTCACAAAGCTTTTTCTAACTCCAGGGCACCCTTCTGGTCTCTCTCTCTCTCTCTCTCTCTCTCTCTCTCTCTCTCTCTCTCTCTCTCTCTCTCCCTCTTCCAGACATCTCTAAGCCTTTCCAACTACTTACTGATGAAAGACAGGGAATAGCCATGGGAGCCCTCACCCAGCCCCTGGGACCAGCCTTCACCCCCATAGCCTACCTGACAGCTGACAGCTTGATCACATAGTTTGGGGGCTGCAGCCCTGCCTCTGGGCTCTGGCTGCAGATGCTGTTCTCATCAAGGAGGCCCAGAAGATCTGCTTCCAGCAACCCTTAGTCTATGGGTGGAGAAGACCTTTAAAGGTCTTCTCCACCCATAGACTACAGGATCTTCTGTCACACTGATCCTTATCTCTTTGCCCCCTCTCACATGCAGGAACTCCATTTCCTAGCCCTCGAGAGTTCTGACATCTCCCTGACCCAGTCCCCAGCCCTGAACCCAGCCACTCTCCTTCCTGCTGCCTCCATCCAAACTGCAGCAAAACATTATTACTCAAGGTTGTCAGAGGCCCTCACTCAACCTCGGGTGGGACTCTCAGATTCCTCTCTCTAATCCTGATTTAACTCTGTGGATGGAAGCTTGTATATAGACCCCCAGAAACATCGAAAAGCCTGCTATGCGATTGTAACACTCAAGCGGACCCTGGAGATGGCCTTCATCCCTCTTTACCTTACCCACACTGCGAGAGGCAGTCACGAGTGCCTGCTCTTCCTGCTCCACATGTGCAGCTGCCTCACCCCAGGGAGGAATGCACCCCAACTTTCCTACCCATCAAATGAAGGAGACACTTCCCAAGGCAGGACGGGCAGAAATCCGCAGCTCCTAGCCAGACCTTCTGCCCATGGTCCTGACTGGAATTCGGGCTACACCAAGGATCCCCACCTTTTTAACCTCCCCAAAAATCTTACCCCCCAAGTTGTATTTCAGCTCCAGGTCCAGAAAAACAGCAAAACTAGGCAAGTAATACTGTGACAGCCTCAGGACCAGCCTTTACCTCCCAAGTGACTCACCAGGATCGCTCTCAAGACTTCACCAACCAGCTGAAACCGGTTTGGCTCAGTAGATAGAGCATCAGTCTGTGGACTGGAAGGTCCCAGGTTCGATTCCGGTCAAGGGCATATACCTTGGTTGCGGGCATATCCCCGGTAGGAGGTGTGCAGGAGGCAGCTGGTCGATGTTTCTCTCTCAACATTTCTAGCTCTCTATCCTTCTCCCTTCCTCTCTGTGGAAAAATCAATAAAATATTAAAAATAAATAAATAAAATAAAATAAAAAGGCTTCACCAACCAGTCTCTTGGAGAAATCATGCTGCTGCACACCCCTCAACCAGCATGGAAAAACTACCTGTTTTTGGCTCACGTACCCCATGGCGCCTCCAACTCTTAGGCTCACTGGTATTTATACTCTTAATTTTGCTCTTTGGCACCTGTCTCATGCGCTGTTTTACTAGTCTCTTGCAGAACAGAATGCAGGCATTCGCCAACCAGAAGGTGGGAGAGATCTATCTGGCACTGAATTCAGAACCGAACACCAGAATCTTTGAGACCCTGGGTAGACGCCTCTAAAGACGACACCCCTTCTCAGCTGGAAGCAGTTACCGAAGATAGACCTCCAGTCCCTAACCTCCTGCCTGGACTCTCAATTTTTTAAATACAGCCCCTGAACCTCTGCCCAGACTCTCAATTTTTAAAATATAATATATCAA